AGTACAGCCAGAATGCTTCATAGAAGCCAAATGGCAAGATTTTACCTCTCATACTTCAGATATGTTATCAGAGTGCCCAGTCCCTGGAGAAGGACATCATGCTTGGTAAAGTGGACGGTCAGCAAAAAAGAGGAAGACCCTCAATGAAATGGATTGTCACAGTGGCAGCAGCAATGGGCTCAAACATAATGACAATTGTGAGGTTGTCACAGGGTTGGGAAGTGTTTCATTCTGTTGTGCATAAAGTCACTCTGAATTGGAATGGACTTGAAAGCATCTAACAACAACAACCAGCAAGCCCAACATTTGTCTGTCAGTTTGTATGGTGGTGACTTGCACGTTGCTGGGATGCTGGAAGCTATGTCACCAGTGTTTTAAATACCATGATATTGCAGAAGAGCTAACAGACTAAGATAAACTAGAACAAAGGACCTGGTGATCTACTTCTAACAAAATATTAACCAGTGAAATACTTAAGAATAGCAGGAGAACACTGATATAATGCCTGAAGATGAACTCCTCAGGATGCAAGACACACAAAGTGCCATTGGTTAAGAGCTACCTCCTCAAATAGAGACAATTTTAATAACATGGATGGAGTAAAGTTTTTGGATCTTTATTTGCTGATGTGGTGTGACTCAAAATGAGAAGAAATAGCTAAAAACATACATTAATAATTGGAACATGGAATATATGAAGTATAAACCTAGGAATTGAAAGTTCTCAAAAATGAAATGGAACACATAAAAATGATATCTTAGGCATTAGGGCACAGAAATAGATTGGCATTGGCCATTTTGAATCAGACAAGCAAATTGTCTACTATGCCAGGAAAGACAAAGATAAATAGTTTCACATTTGTTGTAAAAAAAAGGCATTTTGCAAATTATCCTTAAGTGCAATGCTCAGAGTTAGGATAATTAGGATAATATCCATATGTCTACAAGGAAGACCAGTTAATACAGCCATTATTTAAATTTATGCATCAAACACTAATGCCAAAGATGAAGAAATTGGGGATTTTTACCAACTTCTGCAGTATGAAATTGATCAAACATGTAACTAGGATGCACTAATAATCACTGGTGATTGGAATGTGAAAACTGGAAACAAAGAAGAATGAGTAATTAGAAAATGTGGCCTTGGTGATAGAAACAGTGCCAGGGGTCACATGATAAAATTGTGCAAGACCAAGGACTTATTCATTGCAAATACCTTTTTTCTACAACATAGATGGTGACTTGTTGGATTCCAGGTGTGGCACTGCAGGATAAACATTAGACTGCAAGGTCAGTTGAACCGTAAGGTCGGTGGTTCAAAGCCACCAGCCCCTTCTTGGAAACCCTATATAGGGTCGCCGTAGGTGGGAACCAACTCGATGGCACTTAACAACAACAACATAATAAATGTGGACCTCACCTGATAGAATACATGGGAATCAAATGACTACATTTGTGGAAAGAGACAATAAAAAAACACAATATCATCAATCAAAACAAGCTCAGGGACCAAAAGAAAAACAAACCATCAATTGCTCATATGCAACTTCAAGTTGAAGCTGCAGAAAAAGTAAAACAAGCCATGAGAACCAAAGTACCAACTTCATCAATACATCACACCTGAATCTGAAGACCATACATCCCACCTGAATTTACAGATCATCTCAAGAATGCATTCTTCCTTCATGTATGAAGAAAGAAAAAGACCATTTAAAAGGTGGAAAAGAAAGAAAAAAAAACTAAAATGGATATCAGAAAAGACTTTGAAAGTTGCTCTTGAACATAGAGTAGCTGAAGTGAATCGAAATGATGACGAAGTAAATAGTGAGAAGATTTCAAAGGGCAGTTGAAGATGATAGAATAAAGTTTTATGATGGAATGTGCAAAGACTTGGAGTTAGAAGCCAAAAGCAAAGAACACACTGGACATTTCCCAAGCATAAAGAACTTAAGAAAAAAATTCAAGCCTCAAGTTGCAATATTGATGTATTCTACAGACAAATATTGAACGACACAAGAGGCATTTAAAAAAAAAAAAAAGATAAAAGAATATACAGTTACTATACCAAAAATAATTGGTAAACATTCAGCGCTTTCAGGAAGTGGTATATGGTCAAGAACTGATGTTCCTGAAGGAAGAAGTCCAAGCTGCACTGAAGGCATTAGCAAAGAGCAAGTCTCCAGGAATGGAAAGAAGAAAAATTGTGCTATTTCAAAAAATAGATGTTAACATTGAAAGCACGCACTCACATATGCAAAGGAATTTGAAAGACAGCAACTTGGCCAACTGACTCGAAGAGATCCAAATCTGTGCCCATTTCAAAGAAGAATGCTCTAACAGAATGCAGAAATTATTGAACAATATCATTAATATCACACACAAGTAAAATTTTACTGCAGATAATTTAAAAATTATTATAGCAGTATATAAGCAAGGAACTGCCAAAATTCAAGCTGGATTCAGAAAAGGATTTAGAATCAAGCACATCATTGATGATGTCAGAAAGCAGAAAACATTGGATGTCAGAAAACAGAAAATACTGGAAAGATGTTTACCTATGGCTTATTGATTATGCAAAAACATTCAACTGTGTGGATCATAACAACGTATGTAGAACATTTTGAAGGATGGGAATTCCAGAATACTTGTGTTCATATGGACACTGCACACAGACCAAGGGGATACTGCGTAGTTTAAAATCAGGAAAGGTGTGAGTCACTGTTGTATCCTTTCACTATACTTAATCAGTCTGTATACTGAACAAGTCATTAAAGAAGCTGCACTATATGAAGAAGACTGGGTCTTCAGGATTGGAGGAAGACTCGTGAACAACAACCTTCAAAATGCAGATACTACACTCTTGCTTCCTGAAAGTGAAGAGGACTTGAAGCACTTAATGATGAAGATCAAAGACTACAGCCTTACATATGGATTGCACATCCACATAAAGAAAATAAAAATTTCACAACTAGATAAATAAGCAACATCTTCATAAATGGAGATATTGAAGTTGTCAAGGATTTTAATTTATTGATCTACAATCAATGCCCATGGAAGCAACAGTCAAGAAATCAAACGACCTATCACATTGGGCAAATCTGCTGCCAGAAATAACCTCTTTAAAATGTTAAAAAGCAAAGATGTCACTTTGAGAACTAAGCTGTGCCTGACTCAAGTATTTTCAATGACCTCATATGTCTGCAAAAGAAGACTGAAGAAGAATTTATGTATTTGAATTATGGGGTTTACAAAGAATACTAATAGGTCATAGACTGCTAGGGAAAAGGAACAAATCTTTCTTGGAAGAAGTACAATCAGAATGCTCTTTGGAAAGAAGGATGGTGAAAGTTCATCTCACATGATTTTGGCATCTTATCAGAAGGGACCGGTCCTTGAAAAAGGAAATCATGCTTGGTAACAGTAGTCAGTGAGAGAGATATGGATTGACACAGTGGCCGTAACAATGGTCTCAAACAAAACCAATGTGAAAATAATGTAGGACCACACTAGGTTTCATTCCGTTGTAGGTATAGATAGGGTCACTATGAGTTAGAACCCACTTGATTGCACTTGACAATGACTAGCAAGTATTCTCGTTAAATTTATTCACACTTTTTCAGTATCTTCTGGATACATGCACCACACATATAACTCTGCAGCTAGTGGGGACTTGGAATATTAATAAATGAGACAGCAACTGGTCTGCTGATTGATTGGCCCCAGCATAGATTTTGCCATTGAAGGATGACACTTTTCCATTATCAAGCCTTGACCCAATATGAGCTGGCATTTGTTCTTCTCAAAATTGTTCATAGAAGGCCTATTACAAACTTCCTGCTGAAAGCACTTTCAAAGGCTGGATACATTTAAAATCAACTCAAGCATGTAAAGTCGTTTTAGGAAATAAGCCCCATGTCCCAAGGGCTTAGTGGAGGAGGGCCACGTTTAAGAACAGGTGCGCCACTTCACTGAACAGGAATTTGAAAATGTCAAACATTAGAAGCACTTGAGAAACTCCAACCCAACCTGCCTGACAGGCACACTTCTGGGCAGGTATCAGTAATTGCCTTGCCGACATGGGCATTTGAGAACATCTCTCAGCACTAATTCAAGATTAGCTCAAACAAATAAGCATAGTGGATTCTTAGGGGACAAAACTTTATCTAACTGATGCCTCTGAAGAAACTACAGTTTAAAAACAAGTCATTCAAAAATATCCTGTTACCTAATAGTTCATAACAACAGCATTGCTGGCTTTAACATATTCCTGAAGTTCAGCCTATTTTTCCTGATTTTGAAATGGAAATAAGAATGGGGTTGTTTTCCTTTTCACTCTCAGAAATTCTTTGCCAGACCTTTGGGAGTGGGAACCTTAAATACACACATGGCTCCAAGTACCCTTTAAACTCTGCCCCTCCCAGTAGAACATAGCATTCTGCAGTTCCTGTCAGTTCTCTGGCAAAAGCAAACAATACTTTCCGTTACAATAACTTGTATCCAGGAAATAAACCAGGCACTTTGTTGCATCTGTAGCATAGCAGTCAGTGAAAAGTTTATAGCTCTAGCCAATTGCAAGCTATGGCGCTGGGCCAAGTTAGCATGTTTTTCTCCGCCTCTAGATGAAGTCATGGTAGAAATATGGTGTTGAATTGACTTTAAAAAGGGGAAGCGGGGGTAGGAAAAAAAAAGCTAAACCTGCAGTAAAGTGCCCTGTGCCGAGGAAAATAGTTAGAAAGTGTTTGCAATGCTTCTGAACTGTGAGTGGTTCTGGATTCTGTAACCTTCGCCTCCCACTGGGTGGAGTAGGGCCTTTAAGAGCAGCTGGAATGCAGTTTCCCTGATCAGTGAAGCCAGTTGTTGCTTGTCTGAACCTCTGCCAGTCCTGGAGAGCAGCGCTCCACGTTCCACCAGCGGGCCTCTCTCTGCTCCCCTCATTTCCACCCTTCTCACCTGCGCAAGAAGACTCTCCCAGTAAGGAAGAACGTGTCCACCTGTCCAGTCATGGGAGAGGACGCTGTTCAAGCTGAAAAGTTCCAACACCCGAGTGCTGATATGCGGCAGGAGAAACCATCCAGCTCTAGCCCGGTGCCCTCCTCCACGCCTAGCCCCAGCCTGAACCTAGGGAGCACAGAGGAAGCCATCCGGGATAACTCACAGGTGAACGCTGTGACGGTGCTCACACTCCTGGACAAATTGGTGAACATGCTGGACACTGTACAGGAAAACCAGCACAAGATGGAGCAACGGCAGATCAACCTGGAGGGTTCCGTGAAGGGCATCCAGAATGACCTCACCAAGCTCTCCAAGTACCAGGCCTCCACCAGCAACACTGTCAGCAAGTTGCTGGAGAAGTCCCGCAAGGTCAGCGCCCACACCCGGGCAGTTAAGGAGCGTATGGAAAGACAGAGCTTGCAGGTGAAGCGGCTGGAGAACAACCACGCCCAACTCCTCAGACGCAACCATTTCAAAGTCCTCATCTTCCAGGTTGGTGCCCCCAGCAGCTTCCTCACACCCAGCCTGGGACTCTTCACTCTTCGTGATCTCGATTGTCCTGACTTTCATAGTTATTTGTACATCTGTCCTGTCTGTCAGAGATCACACACACAAGACAGTGTTCCCTGCCTGCCTTCAGCAGAATAATGTGAAATCTGTACACATGGATGGGAATTTCCCGGGTCCCTGCTGTCTCAACCCAAGGCAGATACCTAGCGGTATTAGACAGAAGGCATTTATCAGCTAGCCCTGGATACCCTCCATACAGCTTGGGAAGGTGTACAGGTGTACGCACTCCAGTTAGATGCATTTGTCTACTTGCATTATGAACATGGGGCTCTGGCTGCAGCTGTTAGCAGGATAAGGCAAATTAATTCAGTGGTTGTGTATTAACTCTTTGTTGAAATGTAATCCTCTGAGACTTTTAGTGTATTGTTTTACTTTAGCCAAGGCAAACTCAAAACTGTTTAAACTGTTCCTTTTCTAAAAGCTACAAATGTTTTGGGGACTAGCCAGTGCCATTAGAGTAGAACTACACTTTTAAGACTTTTGGAATGAAGCAATCTTGTTGATGAATTCTTTTCTAGCAAATGATGCACCAAGAATATTGAGCATAATTCTTTACACACTAGCTATGCCTCTCCTTGCTCAGGGAGAATACAACTACACATAGTAAAAGAGAAGCAGCGGTATCCGTTATAGTCACAAAGGCTGGCCTTGAAGATTCGATTCTTCAATAGTTGCCTGAGAATAAAACGGCCACTTAATTTTTTTAATGCATCAGTGATGCAATTAATGTAGCAAGAGGCTATCTGGGGACAGGGACATTGCGTTGGGCTGTTGTTCAGCCAAATGGTGGGCATTTGTGTGAATCCCAGGGCAGCCCTTCCGCCCAGCGGAACCTAGCCAGCACAGAGCTCAGTTAAGTGATTGCCATCCCTGCCCCAGGGCTGTCTCCTTGTGACCATGTGAATAGGAGCGGATTTCAAAGCCATGGAGGGGAGAGGCTATAACCAACTGTTTGATTGTGAAAGGCACACAGGGAGAGCCTTCATCTCCCAAGAGAGATTTAGAAATTTGGATTTAAACCGAGGGAGCCTTCTTTTCTTACAAATCAGCTCTGCCAAGTTAGGGCCTAAGCCTTCTTCCCAGCATAAAAGGAAAGCCTCATCTTGTCTTCCCCAAATTGCACTTGAGTGGTGTAAAGCTTCAGGCAGCTGATGTCCTCCTATACCTTGTAGGCTTTTACAGCCAGGAAACTTTTCAGCTTTTAATGCAAATGGAATAGCTTTTCATGCACCAAATGAACTGAAAACAGATACGATAACTGGGCCTTTCTTAAGCCTTATGAGATCCTCACTTAATTAGCCTAAAAGATATTAGAAATCTCAGCTCTCAAGGCATTTCTAAATTAAATACTGATCTCCAAACAAAACTAAGCATGTACGGACCTGTTTAAATCTGTGTCACACCAAAGGAAATTTCCTTCTAGTGTAAATCAAGATTATCTTTTGTCTCATCCCTCAGTTATGGAAGGAAAGGAAGTATCTACTAGAGGAACATCACAATTTGTTGGGATTGTGTTTGGTTTGGTTTGGGATGGTCTGCAGATGTTAGGGGGTGGGAGGGACAGAGAAACAATATGACTAGAAATTCAAAAGAATTGTAAATTTACAATAAAAACAACAACAACAACAAAGAAAACCTTCTGGGCAACTTAAAGGAGCAAGCTATTGTTCAAGACAAGGCATAGTCCCCATTTTGTCACATTGGATTGGGAAGTGTGAAATTGCAGCTAGAAATGGTAGGAATTCACCACCTAGTGAGGAAAAGCTAACACAGGATTACTGAGACCAAGGTGGAAGCTAAGAGGACCCAAAGCAGTGGTCAGACTCCATTTGGGGCACCTTAACAAGCAGCCAAGAACATTATAATAGAGCATTGAGGAGGCAGGGAACTGTTGTAGTTATGTGCTATGGAGTCATTTCCAACTCATAGCGACACTGCAAGGGTTTCTAAGGCTGTAAATTTTTACAGGAGCAGAAAACCTCATCTTTCTCCCGTGGAACAGCTGGTAGTTTCGAACTGCTGACCTTGTGGCTCGCAGTCCAATTCGTAACCACTACGCTACCAGAGCTCCTTTCAAAAGTCATATAAGATCCTTTATTGACCTGAACAATATTAGATGTCTCCGCTCACATAGCATTGCAAGATGATTATTTTGGGGGTGGGGGCAAAGCTGAGGGGATTTCAAAAAGTTCATGGAAAAAAACTGAATTAAAAGATAATGGAATCTTTCCATGAACTTTTTAAGTCCCCTCCTCATATAAGTGTGGTCCCTCCATGGAAAGGCTGATTTATTTCTCTTAGCCCTTATTAAAGCAGGAGATTTTATACAGGCCAATATACCATTAGCTAAAATAATAACTTATGTTACAGAGTAGTACATTGTAATGGTTGCAACAATAGATTTTGGAGTCACTAGTTCAAATGTCAGTTTCACCACTTCCCAAACATGTGATCTCAGGCACATTTTGAAGCATTTCCAAATCTCTGTTCTCTCACTCGTACACTAAGAATATTTTTACAAAACAAAAATATTTGAGTACTTTATACTGCTAAGCATATTTCTGTGCATTATGTTATGTCTCCAATATATAGATAGGCATGCTGAGATTCAGAGATGTTTAGATGTAGTCTGGATTTATTTACTTAGCAAGAGGTGGAGCTGTGATTCAAATTCATGTTTGATTGATTTCAAGGCATGTACTCTTAAGCACTAATTCTTCCTTCCTTGTATTGTCCTCACAGAGTAAGGAATAAACGAAATCACATATTTTAAATGTTTTGCAGTGTCACAGAGTAAGGAATAAATGAAATTAACATATTTAATATGTTTTGCGGTGACTGCATAGTGTAAGGATTCAATGAATAGAAGCTATTACTGGGTAGAACTGGTATCATTTGTCATAAAGGAGGCTACACTTTTGCTTGGTGAGAAGTACAATGCTTGACTAAAACTAACCCTGTCCTATCCACAACCATAATGCTTATGGATTTTTTTTTTTCAGTTGAGACATGTTAAACACACACAGTCACTGTTATATAGTACATACCTCTCACCATTACTGGAATCACCATTATAGACAGCACCATCAATTACATGAGAGCAAAGGACTCTGTCCAGAGGATTTAACTCTACGGCACTTAACAACAACAACAACAACTTCAGTCCCTGGGTGGGGAGAGTGGTGCTGGTGAAGGTGAAGTGCCATGGAGTTGGTTCTGACTCATGATGTTGTATAGAGTTTCTGAGGAGTGACTGGTGGGTTTGATTCACCAACCATGTGGTTAGCAATCCAGTGCTTATCCTACAGCACCACACCAAGTACAAATAGTTAATGTAATGAGGAAAGTCTGAAGGCTCTAGTCCACCCAGAGGTGACTCAGTAGAGAGACCTGGAGATCTTCTAAAACATCAGCCATTACAGACCCTATGGGGCACAGACCTTCTCTGACACACATGAGGTAGCCACAAGTCAGATTTACTTTACAGTTACTGGATGTGGCGGTGGTTGTAACAGCACAGTCTCCACAGCCTGGCAGAAGTGGCTGTTTCCTAGCTGAACCTGCAAGGAGTGTGGAAGGCAGGTAAATTACAAGGGGGCTTCAGAAAGTTCATAGTAATGAGACTGAACTTTTTGAAGCCCCCTCATACTAAGTACCACTTTGCATCTTCATGGACTTTGTCACTTTCAGTCCACTTGAACTGTATGCTAGACTTTCCCTTAGTAAACCCATTGGTTTTCTAATTTAAGATAAGACTTTAATGTGAACATAAGAGTGTGAGGAAAGAAAATGTGCCACCTAACATGATTATAGTTAGTACTGTATTGTGTAGAATATTCCTTTTCCAGTGGGCAAAATTCTGTAAGGAATTCAAAATCTGGAGGTGCGTTTTTGTTTGCTTGTTTTTAACAACAACAAAAATGCCAGATACTTACACATTTGCATTTTTATAAATTTAATTTCATACTTTTTTCTTAATTTGTCCTATTTAAAACATGTTCTTTATTTAAGTCTGTGCTGATATTTACAACATTGTTGTAAACGACTAAGCATCGAAATCCTTAACAATTACTACAAATTATAACCAACAGTATCTAAAAATCGAGAAACATTCATGTCCCTTGAGCAATAACATAAACTTCTGAAACCTTATTAAACTTAGCACCTGTCCTTTTAATTTTTTTTTAAAAGCTGAAGATCAGTGTTTCAATTCAAAATTCTATGGCATGACCCAGCGTAAATGAAATAAGACTCCAAAGGGTTGCAGCTTAAAAGGCAGATACTAAAATTGCTAAATTGGGTGAAAAGAGTAAAAAGGTTAGATATTTGTAGTAGAAACATTTCTGGAGAATGAAAGTTATGAATGTGTTCAAATAGACATCATTTGGGTTCCCTCTATGAGATCAGAAATTTAGAAGGATGCTACAAAATGTAACGTCTTCGGACTGTTTTACAATTGATTTTTTCTTTTAAGACTGCATTTTCTCTACCCAAAGCCACTACTCTGAAAACTGTTAAATTAATACAGACTTGAAAGAAATCAGGATACAGATCATTAAAGATACCTTTAGATGTGACAGGCTCACAATGTTTATATCACCTGATTACAGTTTTCATAATGGAATATTGGTTTAAGGGTGCTACTTATCCAGGGCTGTTTTAGCTTATGAACTAAACATAATACCAGTCCTTATTATTATTACTTACACTTATTGGATGTCAGCACTGCCCTAGACCCTTTAAGTAAATAACTGATTGTTATTTCTTCAAAAGAATCATTACCTCTTTCATATAATAAAGACTAGACTCTATCTCAGATGCCGCTATTCCAAATAAATACTGTCCCCTCCATTGTTTTATAATCTGATTCTGTTAGAACTGAATAAATGAAAAATGCTCCTTGCAGCAACTCGGGTCCTATA